ATCAATCAATCAATCAATCAATCAATTAATGAATCAATCAATCAATCAACCAACCAACCAATCAATCAATTAATCAATCAATCAATCATTCATTCAATCAGCCAATCAATCAGTCAATCAATTTTTTTTTCCTATTTTTTTCTTTTTTTTTTCACACACCAAAAACCACCCCCCCCCCAAAAAAAAAATTCACTTTTTTTATGTTCAAGGGGGAACCGCAACCCCCTTCCCCAACCCCCTCTCCCCTCGGACGCGGCGGGCCTCCAAAGTCCGCGGTCGCTGTGGGCATGACCGCGGCGACCGCGGCCGCTGGGGAAACTTAGCCAGCAGCGCATCCTCTGAACGAAAGTCAACTTCTTGTGATAACTAGCCGCATTGTTATGCTGATGACCAACCAGGGACTCCTCAACAATAAGTCCCACGTACACATAGCAAACATACCTCTTGTAGAAGTCAACTTGAGGGTGCTTCATCATCAAACGGCTGCGTGTCTCACGATAATGACCGCCGCCCAAAATCCAAATGGTGTAGCCCCCTGACCGCAAGTTCTGCACATCCACCTGATCAACGGTTGTACACTCGGTAGGGTCAATCATGCCCACATAAGGCAAGTGGTCCCCACAGGGCACCCTCTCCATAGACGCCATGAGGACCCTGACGCGGTACTCTGCAGGGAATCTGACCTCCCTTGATCTCCGACCGTCAGGAGTGTCCACAGGAGGCCAGATCATGCCGGACATTGGCAAACTCAATATATCATCAGTTACCTTCTTCGCATTCAAGGAGACCAGCCTTCTCCACATCTACTCAAGAGGTGTCGTACCCACAGACTCTGGTTCAAGATCCACAACAGCAGTGGCAGTGTTTGCAGATTTTTTCCCTTTCCCACCAGAACCCCCACTTCCCTTGCGTGCACTCTTACAGCGCCCGTTTGAAGTCCGCTCTTCTGCAGCTGCAGGGTGTCACCTCGGCACAACCATGTTTGTATTCCGAACAACCGAGGGCTGTCGACGAGAGGGTCCCTCTTGAGATTGTCTGTGCGAAGCAGTTCTACTATTGTCTGCAGTCCGCAGTTGTGACACCGCCGGTGTCTGCTGAATGAGAGGAGGACCAGGAACAGGCATTTTCGAAGAAGACATGAAGCCAACGCCAACCGAGTGCGGGACATTACGAGGAGCACCCATCTGTGAAAAAGGGTGGTAGACACCACCACCAAATACAGGAGGGAGGGGTGAAGACTGAACGCCCCCAATAATCGTGCGGTTTGCCATGAAAGTAGTATAATAGAAGCAAATGTACGCACTTAGCGTATTGCAAAACAGTTGCCACATAGCAAGAGAAAAAAAAAAAAAAAGCAGCCCATATGAAAAACCGAGCGATAACTGCAAACGATGGACGATAAATCCGCCAACATTATGATTAATATTGTTGAACTCGTTGATTGACAACTCTCGTGCTTGAGTGGTTGAGCGACCGGTTCGGTTGTTGTCAATAGAGCGCAGTTCACTGACACCACTAAGCAACAAAAAAAATAAACAATAAATAAAACAACAGACACAAACATATTTTTCAATCAATCAATCAATTAATCAATCAATCAAAACAAACTAGTTCTTGTGCGTCCCCAGACCAGCTGCAAGGTCCAGTACTAATTCAGGTTTACCAGAACTTACAAATGGAATTGATTGATTGATCGATTGATTGATTGACCGACTGATTGATTGACTGATGCACTAGTACTAGTTCTGGTTTACCAGAACGCAGCTCCCCTGCAGCAGCGCCAGTTCTGCTGCAGTACTAGTTCTGGTTTACCTGAATGCAGTTCCCCTGCAGAAGAGATGAATCTGTTGCAGTCGAGCTGGGTTCTGATGCACCATAACTGGACCTGCTCCAACAAAATCAAAAAGTTGAATTAGCTTCTAGTCCGCCGGAATTGAATACGATGCACGAGAACTGGCTATGGTTCGGCAGAACTAGTTCTGCTGCAGCAGAACCACTTCCACTACGGCTGAAGCACTTGCTGTTGCACCTCCACTCCATTCTGCAGCGTCCCCAAGCCAGTTGCAAGGCCCAGTCCAGCATGCCCACCCGCCACGGGGATGCGATTGCAAAATGGAATCGATTACATAATCAATTCCATTTCGGAATCGCGTCCCCGAGGCGGCTGCAAGGTCCAGTCCACCGCGCCCATCTGCCTCAAGGACACGATTCCAGAACGGAATCGATTCCATTTTTGAATCGCGTCCGTGATCCATCTGCGAGGTCCATTCGGCGTGGACCGCCATGCCCAGCCGCTTGAGGGACGCGATTCCGAAATGGAATCAATTACGTAATCGATTCAATTCCAAAATGGAATCGATTACGTAATCATTTTGGAATCACGTCCTTGAGGCGGTTGGGCGCGCCAATGCCAAGCAATCAATCAATCCATCAATCGATCGATCCACCAATCAATCAATCAATCAATCAATCAATCAATCAATCAATCAATCAATCAATCAATCAATCAATAAATAAATCAATCAATCAATCAACGAATCAATAGGGGGGAACGACTATACTCAGTCGTTTCCTAAATGAGTACTGTGGGTATTTTGTTTTTTCGTTGTTGTTTTTTTTGTGCATCCTAATGGGAGGCCTAATGGGAGGCAGGGGGAGGAGCAACGGGGGTGGGGAGGAGCGGCAGTGGGGGGAGGAGCGGAGGCGGAGCGGAGCCGGGGCGGGGGGAGCGAAGGTAGGGGAGCGGGGGGCTGTTTGAGGCGATTCCAAAACGGAATCGATTACGAAATCGATTACGTAATCGATTCCGTTTTGGAATCGCCTCCAATAGGCACCTGCACGGCCCAGTTTGTTGTGTCCAAGTGCGTGTTTGAGGTGATTCCACGACGAAATCGATTACGTAATTGATTCCATCGTGGAATCGCCTCAAACACGCACCTGGGCGCAGCAAACTGGCCCGTGCAGGTGCCTATTAGAGGCGATTTCAAAACGGAATCGATTACGTAATCGATTCCGTTGTGGAATCGGCTCAAACACACACTTGGGCGCAACGAACTGGCCCGTGAAGGTGCCTATTTGAGGCGATTCCAAAACGGAATCGATTACGTAATCGATTTCGTTTTGGAATCGCCTCACACAGGTGTCCATAATACGTGGTTAGGAGGGGATCAATCAATCAATCAATGGGGGGGGGAGAGCGGCGGAGGAGCGAAGGTTGGGGGAGTGGCCTCCGCTTGTCCTCCCACCTCCGCTCCTCCCCCCCCGATGGATGGATGGATGGATGGATGGATGGATGGATGGATGGATGGATGGATGGATGGATGGATAAATGGATGGATGGATGGATGGGTGGATGGATGGGTGGGTGGATGGATGGATGGATGAATGGATGGATGGATG